GGCCTCCCTCGACTCGGCCCCGCCAGCCGCTCCAGCCCTGGCCCCCGGCTCTCCCTCCCCTCCTCCTCTGTCTCGGGGGAAGGACAAGGTGACACCAACTCCCGGAGCCCGCAGCCCCGCCCTGACACAGCCCGGCTTCCCCGGCGCTCGAGCTCTCGCCACCGCCCCAACTCAGCTTTGGAAAGGTCCTCCCAGGCTGGGAGAGGAGGAAGGAGGGGCCGGGGCGGGCCCAACAGGGAGGAGGGGCTGAGGGCGGGAGGAGANGAGGGCGGGAGGAGAGGCTCGCTAGCCAGTGTGGAGCCGGAGGTGGGCGGGGACCGAGAGGGTGACGGTGCCAGGAGGGAGCGCACTAGGCAAGTATGGATGACGGTGGAGGCCTCGCAGAGCTGGGGGCCAGGTCAGTGTGTGAAAGAAGGGGCTGTGGGTGGAGATAAAAGGAGGCCGTGCCCAGAGGGAGAGGCAAAGGTGGAGGGAAGCTCGGGTGAGGCTGGGCTAAAAGGAAGCCCAGAAAGGAGGAAAGGTTGAAGCGAGACCCGAGGCGAGCCCGAAAGGGAGCCAGGGGCCCCAAAGTGGCCGCTCAGGGGAGGCGCCGTAAGGAGGCGTAACTCAGAGGAGGATCGCGGGGGCGGCGCTGGGTGGGCGGGGCCTGGAGGGGGGGCCCAAACTAATCCGCGGCGGGCGGTGCCCTGGGGAGGCGGGAGAGACCCGGTACCGAGGAGCGCGAAGTTGTTTGACTTTCGAGGAACCAGGTGCTTAGCCTTCGAAAGGTTCGCTCCTCGCTGCCTAGGCTGGGATTGGGCGGAGAGGCCGCCGAGAGGGTGCGTATGGGAGGAGGTGCCGCCCCCACCCCCAAATATAGGTTAAATCAAGTACCTTTAGCCTTCTGGGGTGCAGGAAATGTTTTATAACTTGATCTGGGTGGTGGTCCTCCGTCCTGGATATTTCTCCTGTCGGAAACCCTCACCTCCACTTCCAGCCTCCACGACACAGAGGCGTCTTTCAAGAGCACACGAGGACTGTGCCCTTCAGTCCTCAGCTATAGACTTCCCTGAAGGCTGGGAATTTTCCAAGTTCTCCATGCGTCGTCCAACGTGTGATATCGTGAATGGATTTTCACCTGGCTTCCACCAGAACCTGCCAAAGAGTCCCGATTCCCGAGAGCCTGGCAAAGCTTGAATTGAACCTTGGCTCTGCCACAACAGCAGTTACAGCTCCACTTGTGTTTTTTGTTGACCTCCGTGTCTCGCTTCGAAAGGAAAATAAACCGTATTAAAGAGATGGTGACACTAAGACCAACGCCAGCGTCGTTCCTCCCCCACCTCTTCTAACTTCTGGTTCCTTATGCCTCAGGTCTCTGCCTAAATATCACCTCCTGGAAGAGGTTTTCCCTGCACACCGCCTCCCTTGCCTTGAAGGCTGGCTTGATTTCCTAGGCTCCCTAGCAGGTGACAGAGTTCTGGTCAATCATATGCAAGTGGAAGTTGGTTAGTTACTTAACCAAAAAAGTTTTTAAAGAGACAGGCTCTACTGGCATTCGTCAGCCTTTTGCACTTACCCTTGTGTTCTGCCTGAAACAGAGATGTGATGCACAGAGGCACAGCAGCCATCTTGAAATCTTGAGAACAAACACTGTATTGACTTGATCAGAATGGTGCAACAGAAAGAAAGCCTGATTCTTCCAGGCTTCTTATGTGAGATAAAGTTCCATATATTTGTGCCGCTGTTACTTTTGATTTTTGCTTCTTGCTGTCAAGCATATTTCTGATTCATACAGCATAATATCTGGTTCACTGTAGTACTCAATAAATATTAGCTATTGTTATTCTGTCTATATTAATTGTCACAATCATAACTACCATATGCTGTGGGTATTAATACCCTCAATTTAGAAGTGGGGAAAGTCAGACTTCCTCCCAGAGTAGGTTGTAAAGTTTCAATGAGATGAGTAGCCATAATAAGAGCCAACATTTATTGGCATCTGCTATGTTCCTGGCACAGTTCCAAGTGCTTCACATATATTAATTCATTTACTCCTTCCAGAAACCCTGGAAGAAAATACTGTTATTACTCCCACTTAACAGAATGAGGGAACTGAACATCAGAGAAGTGACTTGCCCAGCGTCATACAGTTAACAAGCAGCAAATCCATGATTCAAACTCAGCAGTCTTAGAACAGTGCCTGGCATCTGGGGATGTGTGTGTGTGTGGGGGGGGGGGG